GCGGTGACCTGCAGTACATACAACGATAATATTATGTTGTTGTATTATACAAGTGATTCTCAAGGGGTACTCGAGATTTTTTAAGGGATATGAGTCTGGTCAACATACCTTTAAATGTTTAAAATTATGCGGAAAATAATTATTCAAGTTTAATTTATATTAAAAGTAAATATAGAAACAAAATTTTGAAGATAATTTAAGATTGTATTTCACTAAATTAGAACCCTATATTGATCAATTGTGCCAACAAAAACAAGCTCACCCTTCTTACTAATTGTATTGAAAATGAGCTCTATTTGTTTTTAAAATTTTTTGTGTGATAGTTTTTAACGAAATAAAAATATATGTAAGTTTTTAAATTTTTTTATACTTATTTTAGTTTACTAAGTAAGAAGGGGTAACCAAAAAAGTTTATTGATAAAAAGGGGTACAGTATTTATAAAAATTTGAGAATCCCTGTATTATACAATTATGTTATGCATGTTCGTGGTCAAACGGACGCTCGAGCAATACCATAGAAAACCTAGTGCTGCAGCTCTCCGTGTCTACGGATGTACAATGCAATACGATCGTCAGCCGAGCGCAACTCGGTCTCGTCCGAGAAACGTACCGCCAATTCAGATCTGAGCGATTACTAAACAAAAATAAATGTTCGGTTACGGGCAAAACATTCAATCGTCATCGTATGTTCTAGTACATTCGATATGTGCGTTTACTATGCGCAAAGGTGTACTCAGAAAGGATTTTTCGAAAACCTCACACTTAACGGTCGAATCATGTGTTCATTCATATTTTCACTTCTCGGTTACCTGGAAAATAATTGATATTGCTTGATTATATTTATTTTAATAATTACCAATTGAGGTATCTGGAATAAATTATGAATAATTTTGGTCATGTTGTCATTCAATTTTTTTTCTTTTTTTGTACATCTTGTACCTTGCCATTGAATTCCCTTTACCATAAAAATTGTTTTGATGAAGTTTTAAAACTTTAAGTCAAGTTTTACTGGTCGCTCAAGCATCTTATGGTTTTTAATTATATTAATATTGAAAATGTATTATTTATTATTTTACTGTCGACTATGTAAATACATATTTTTATATTTGCATTACGTATGGTATTAAATAGTTAAAAAATAAACAATTTTAATAAAAAAACTAAATTAGAAATTTAGAGATTTTGAAGTGATTTTTTTTTTTTAGTTTAGAATACCGTTGACAATGTTTTTTTTTTAAATAACAATTATATTTGCTCCTCTTGATTGGTCAAAACTAAATTAAAAGTTGATATTTAAGACATTACTTGATCTGCTGTCATTCACAACTTTTAACGTTTTCACTATTTTCTTTCCACTAAGAAATTCTTCATTAGTATCCCATGTGCTTGGATCAGTCCATAAAATATGTGTTTAAATATTTCATGCAGTGGCGGCATTTCAGTTTTAGATATGAGGGGGAGGCACAATTTTTGACTGGCCCATACTACCGGAGGAAATACGGAGTTACAAAATATAATTTATAATCATACTAATTTTTCTAACATCAATAATATGTAATAACAAGTTGTTAATTTGTTATTGGTTGCTTACTTGTTTAAGTTTGATAAATTTTTGAAAAACATTAGTTATAGTTTGCGAACCTTGAGCGGCTTGGTATAACTTCATTTTTTCTTGGCCTCTTTTTTTCTGTACCACTTCTAGCTTTTTTTTTGTTTATTCATTTTAGAAGTATTAAATACAATATAGTTAAATGCAATTTAATGCAAACAAATGATAGAAAAGCACTCGAAAAATGACTTACAATAATTTACACTACAAGTGTTTAGTGTACAATTGTAAAACTGTAGGTAGAATTACCAGAAAAGTAGGTATAATATTTATGTTTTAAAATAGGGTACAATAAATATTATGATGTACAGCCATTCCAGTCAATACCGATTATAAATTCATGACGTTATATTATTATCGCGAGCTAATATTTTCATTTGACAGTTATAAATTTATTTTTATAAACAGACAATTTTAAATTATATATCATGAATATAGACATAATAAATTAATAATAATACAATATATTGTGTATATAGTCTATTTCTAGATTTTTATCGTTCATATCTTCTATTTTATTTTCTATCTACTAATCGTACTTTTGTGGGGAAGATAAGAATAAATAAATCACCCTGACACACAATCAAATATTCTTATAAAATACTGATGTGTCTATTTATAGTTTATAACAATTAGCAATTATCAAATATTGTAGCAATAAATAATTATATAGTACACAGTATTTTCAAAATTATAAAAATATGCTAGGTTTTTCACAAATAATTTATAGCTAAACGACGACCGGTCCATTGGGATGGTTTTTAATCAGTCAGGGGCAAATTCCCACCTTGCCATTCCCCTCTAAATGACGCCACTGATTTAATGTTTCAAATAAATGTATGGTTTTATTCGTCAATAAATCTAATTATTTGTTCTCATCTAGTTCTGCTCGTATGTTTAATTTATTAGGTTGACTTGTATCACTCTTTAAATATGATAGCTGATAATATGCTCAATTTATTTTCATTTGAAACATTACTATCGAAAAATCGTAGACCTACTAATGTTGGACTCAGTACCACAAATTACAAGAAAAACATTCTAAAGCCATTTTATAAATTATCATTTGAGTGGACACAGTTGATGTAAGCCAAAATGTAATATATACTTCGACAATAAGAACATTGAATGTTTATTAATTTCCCAAAAATTCAAAGTCCAATCGAAATATATAAATTTTCAAAAAATAAATAATTTTAGATCTTTTTTAATAAATATAATGATCTCCCTTGTCCTTGAAAAAAAAATCAGAGCTATTCACGTCTATAGTTGTTGTCCCTAAACATTAAAATACAATAATCTTACTTAGGGCCGCATTTAGTGGGGACACTGGCTACAACTGTACCGGGCCCCAAAATTTTGTGGTCGAAAATTTGCTCACTTGTGAATTATTGAACTCTTAAAATTATTTTATAATTATATTATTTTAAAATTATTTTTTTTTTGTTTTTAATAACAGTGTCGTAAATTAATGTTAATGTATTATACTGTTTGGATTTTAAACAACTATGAACTAATGTATTTATAGCAATATAGCTATCACCGATCCAGAATATTATTAATGTACCTAATATTAGTTCCCAAATTTGTTGTGATAAGGTCAATAAACATAAGTTTTTTATAATAATACGGCGTATTATGTTATAGCATTGATTTTAGAATATCTAAAAATTCATGAGGATCTATCTCCTATATTTTCCGTGGGTAAGCTCCTTAGAGGGGCGTCAATTTCTTTTTTGCGCCGGGGCGAAAAATATCTAACTGTGGCCCTGATCTTACTTAAAACCAATGCTTATTATAATTTATCGTTTATATTAGTCTAATTTAAATATACATACAACTGCCAACGATAACTATTATATTTCTTTTAAAAACTGTGGTGAAACGTTACCACGCACCTGTCCGCGGAATCACGCATATTTTGATGACACTAAAATAACTACATAGTCAGTGCATTGTAAGAAAAAATAAAAAGTACAGAAAAAACAACGTATTTCCTCGTGTTTGTGAGTACAAGCTGCAACGTAAAAACACCTGTGAAGATCTTTAAGACACATCGTGCAACTCGACAGATGCCTTTTGGTAAAACATATTTTATTTTAGTACCGGATGACCGGCAACGTTGTCTAATCTAAATTAAAAAGTGCTCATGAAACTTCTCATTCTAAAAGAAATCAACGAAGAGTAAGCCAAACATACGGTTTTTTTCTAAGTAGAAAACTTGAAGGATTTTATAGCATATTTAGTCGAAAAAACGTTTAATCGAAGATGATGAAAAATTGAGGGATTTTTTTTTAGATTGAGTGTCGAGGAATTACACCTCCTCAGTAATAAAGAATACAGACTTCTAAGCGTAATGAAGTGCAACGTAATCAAAAACCTCAACATTACTAGCAATAATGTTCTGATAACTCAATTGATGTTGTTGTTGTTGATATCACACACATGGACGTATTTTAGGTGGGAGCAAAGGGGCAATCGCCCCCCTGAATCTGTTTTTCATACACATTTCAAATTGTATTAATGTGAATCATTTTATAACAAAATCAAATCACGCATGACTGTGAATACTGAATTGGGCTTTTTATCGGGTTCATACTAAGTGAAAAATCAAATAAAACATAAGCGTAACTTTCAAAATACAGACAGGTGACATACTACACAAAAGTCGATTCTAAGTGGATCGGGAATTAGATTAAAAAAAAAAAAACCACAAACATTAAGAATTCACCTGATTTAAATATTACCAAAAAATGTACTTGTATATGTTGAGCATGAATTAAAGAAAAAATTTTAGTCGCCTCTCTGGAAGTAAATCCAAACTTATGGCCCTGATCGCACTCGATCATTGGAAATAAATAAGGATCGCTGCGTGCGAAAATCACTGCACGCGCTGCGTCGGTGGGCCCTGCAGGGGTTCCAAAATCGCGGGATGCGACGACGTTAGACGGGGCGATAATACGGTGGAGAGGGGTGGAGAGAAGAAAAAACTCGCACGCCAAAACGAAAACATCGGACCGTCGACGCCGCCGCCGCCTAGGTTACACAGGCGCCGTAGTCGGCTCACTCGCGAACCGCCGCCGCCCGCGTCATCCTCTCGCCAGTCGAACACCCCCACCCCTACCCGTTGATGGTTGTGCAGCCGTCTTCGCCCTTCGGCGGCGGCCGAGCTCACAAAGAAAAACGCAAGCACACACACACCCGGTCGAGCACGCGCACGCGCACATCGACTCTCTCGCCCGCCGCCCGTACGCACCACATGTGAACTCGACAACGACGAATCACTGCGGTCGTCGGAGAACGGCGGCGGCGGCGGCGATCGGCCGCGCGTAGTGCATTTTCGTACCACCGCCGAACGAAGTCGCGCGCGCACACACACACACACACACACACACACACACACACTGGCGTACGCACACGCACACGCGCACAAAACCAGTCGTTCCGCAGCCGTTCACCCCTCGATCCCCTCACTCTCACGCTCACCGCTCCCTCTCGCTGTAGCCGCGGCGATTCGTAAGCAGAGTGCGCCCGAGCGCGTACAACACGTTCGCGCACGTACGCGCACGCACTTCGCGCTCCGTTCGGTCGCTTGTCGCTCACGAGCCCCTTCAGTGTCTCACGTGCTCCGCATACGTCCGGTGGTTGTTTGTTTTCTACCGAATTCGTTCACATCACATACACATATACACACACACACACAAACCCGCACTAGTATATTACTATTATTATTATTATTATTATTATTGTATCGTGTTGTTTTCGAAAGAAAATAAAATTTATAATTAAATATCGTCTTTACAAAAAAAATTGAGAGAAAATCGATCGCCCACGCATTTCTTCGTCTCTTTCTCTCTCGCTCTCTTTCCCTTTTTCCGTTTCTCTTGTCAGCGCGAAAAAGGTATTTTTTGAGTGCGCGCGTCCTCCGAACCGGAAAACCGTCGCACAATATCTGTCCATCCCCAAACTCCGGAATCACACGCCCATGACCGAAGCCGTCTGCTGCTGAAACCGTGTACGCGGTTTTTACTTAATACAGGGTGAGTATTTGTTTTTTTATTTTAAAAACAACACGCTCTTGCACATCACATGTACAAGTATTATTTCGGTTTATACAGTAATGTACATTTTTACACCACTCCAGCGTAGCGTGACCCATAAGTGTACTGTTATTTTGTACCGCCGTTCGACAAGACCGTCCTCGCTCTCCGTTTCTCAAGTCTCCTTTCTCTCGCGAACAACCGTCTGTATATCGTGCGCATTGTATTATTACCGGACGGTGTTAAACGTCGTTATTCGGACAACCATTATTATTATTATTATTATTATTATTATTACTGCTTTTGTTGTTGCTGCTGCTGCTACTGTTACCACCGTGGCGTTTTCACCTTGTTCACCATGAAACTCCATACGCCGCGTACGGCCTACCCTGTCGACCACGGTGACGTGCAATTGTCACGGTGACCGGACGTGTCGTGTGCTCAGCTGCTACGGTAGCTGTGGTAGCGGAAATCTTAAGGAACTCACGAATCGAGGGTTCGTCTCGTCGTCCTCCCGGGTCCCCGCAACCCATATGCCCGTCTATATGGCTGTCTGCTTGCCCGACTGTTCCCCGTCACCGAAATTCGAACACTAACATAAAACAATAATAACAAAACCGTAACAACAAAAGCGCGCACCAGTTTGAGCACACCTTATAATATAACGTATACCTTTACAGAGTGCACACATAATACGCAGTACAATAGTAGGTACGTGGACGACGTATATATATATATTTATATGTGTACGTGTGAGTGTACATTCAATGCTCGCGCATAGGATCTCGCCAGCTCTTTAGAAAGGCTGAATTTATTTTATTTTTTTCTCACCCTAACCCTCTTCTCGCGTAGCTAACGACCCTCGTAGGGGGTAAAACACACCCCTCGTTGGCTGTACTACGTTCGAACACGTTTTATTTGTACGTGCTGCGTGCAAATCGATATTAAACTATACGTGTATGTGTGTGTGTGTACGACGCCGGTCGAACGATCTATGTTTTCACATAATAATAATAATACCTATAATACGTACTGCAGCAGTCTTTTTGCCGAAAACGATCTAACAATGTACGACTCGAAATTATCGTAATAATAATACGTATAATTTTCGATCGATAAACGACAATTTCGTCGCCGTTGTACAACGGTCAAAACGAATTATATAAATCTTTACGATTTACCATACTCAACGGTCGTCGTACGTAATGCATTATATTTAAACAGTTCTGTTCTTACGGAAGATTGGCGGTATAATTCGCGTTGTTGGTGTGTTTATTATTATTTTGTGCGTTTAACAATTAAACACAAACGTTCTGTTTGTTGACGGACTTTTACCGTATTATTCTCGTTAGACCTACGAGTAATGATAGAAATAGTATATATATATATAACATAGTACCTACACTGTTCTTATTAAATCGGAACAATGACGTCGTTTGTCCTGAGTCGAGTTTTTTGTCTCCCGAATTGTTATCTCAAAAAAAAAAAAAAAAAAAAAACCGTCGTGATCGATTCTCGAATCGTATAAGCCTACACGAGAACCAGTGACGAGAACGTTGCGTTATTCCGGTTCGTCTTGCGCAGGGAACTAACCTGATGCATTATCATATTGTTGTTACAGTACGGTGCGTGTTTTTTTTCGAACTGACATGTGCCCGCTAGGAGACAACGTGCGTCGGCGGACTCTGGGGTGGTTCGATGTCCGACCTGCAGCTGGCCGATCGGACGACTGCGTCGACAACCGGTCGTCCTTCGCAGGGGTTCGTCCGGTCGGTTTTATTCGGCTCGCTCTGTATACGCACGCCCGTTGCTGCACGTATGCTAGCTGTATACGTTTATAACCGGTGTGACATATCAACCGCACGTAAATATAATTATATGTAGTAATATAGGCACAAACATATTACACGAGTAGCAGTACACTCGCTTTGAGGCGACCGTGGCGTAAAACCGTTTTTTGAAGAGGCCGCTATCCCGAGGATGAGGAGGCGAAACGGAAGGGAAGGCCACCGTCATCGTCGTATACTTTATACGATATAATACAAATGTATATGTATAATATTCGACCGTGATTTACCGTGCCGTGTAAGCCAGAGATATAAAAATTCAAAACAGGGGTTAAAACGTGTGCTTTTGAGCAGATGGCACGGTGAGAGAAGTGGGTGGGCAGAGACGAGAAAAAATGTTCTGAAAATATCCTTGTGGTTATTTCGCCCCCTTGTTGGACGACCTTACGCGTACTTCGTAAGTTGTATATGTGTGTATACGTATATGTGTGTATACGTATATGTGCGCACACGTTGCCCCAGTCCCTTGCTACTATGTACAGTAGGGGGTTACACATCGTAGCTGAAGCGGAGCCGCTTGGAAATTCCGACGTTGACTTTTACAACCCAAAGTAATTTGAATAGGTCGTTGAACAAAAAGCGAATCACTGTACGGTCTCCGCCATTACTCTTTAACGTACTGGTGCGCTCACCGTTTAATCTGAAACGCCGACTCGACATAGATATATTATAATAATATGCGAGATTTTTATATTAAATGCGTGTTCCGCCGGCCAAACGTGTTTTCACGTGAAAAACGCATTCCGATAACGCAAATTCCCGCCGATATTTTCAATATACACTCTCGCAGAAATGCCTTCGATTTATTTGTAGATCGCAGTGTCGTTTTTTTACACGTGCAAATCGATTAAAACAATTATACCCACCCCTCCGTGCACGGTACATACGTACGGTATGTACGAAATACTATGTATACTTATTTTATCTACCCATGTGTATATCTGCATAAAGTATTAATGGTGTTGGTTTAGTGCCCGCGTAGTTGTAAATAAATATTCACCCACGATTTGTTTATCATCAATTTCGATTTCTAAAAGGTTTCTTTGTTGTTTATTGTTTATTATTGATATACATGTGTATTATGTGTAGTACACACTTAATATTTATTATGACATGAATACAGTATTAGATATTATCGTCCGTATTAAATACTATTTAATTTGTATAATTAACCGTTTCATAATCGTGTTCATGATTTTTTTTTTTTTTTTACACTTTATTTTAAGTATCTGAAAACTCGCCTGTTACCACCATAAAATGGTTGAACATTTTGATCTTGGTACCAATTATGTAAACAAAACCACTGTCTGCTTGAATTTATAGTTTTGCTATCCGAAAAGTATGAGAATTATTCAAGGCTTATACATTTAAGAAACTCTAAAACTAAATACTACAAATATTTTCACTATTGAAGTCTTATAGTCTTCTAGCACACTTCAATCGACGAATATCTATGTACTGAGGTATAGTAAACTTCTCACGTCATACATCCACATACGACATTAATTTATTATAAATAATAATTATACAATTTGTTTAATATATTATGTTCCAATGTTGTGAATTTACTATCGTAACGTAATAATTTAATTGTTGGTAAAAGCAATTAAAAAAAACCGGCTCGAATAGATTATTCAAAACGTAAATTCGCGTTTTTTTTTTTAAATTAGCCATTACAATCGACCTTACTGGGAAAAGGTGAATCTATTAAAAATTGCTATTTCAAAGAACTCTCAATATGTCTGACGGTATTCTACTTCAAAAATAATTGCTAAAAACCTTAGAGTGTACAAAGGTTGTCAGCATTCTTGAACTACATATTTACGTTTTAATCAATTATGAATATTATACGGTCTACCTCCTGCCGTTTCCGTTGATTCATTACATTGTAATGATTACAATATTCCAATATTTTCATTGCTCACAAAGAACACGTTTGTTAAAAACCTATGCTCTACACAACGTTTTTAAGAAACAAAATCAATCCGTGCGCCAAATAATAATAAAAATTATATTAGCATATTATTCCTCGGCCTCTGCACCCCATTATCTGATTATGATATCCACTCGCCCGCATACAATATAATTATATGCGTAGGTACAATTTTGACGAGGTTCATTTCATTTTTTGTACTTTTACGCGACAATCGATGCAATGATCGGTTCGCGTGCATTATGTATATATATAGAAACTCAATATTGTACTATAAATGCACTCTAAATGTACAGCGAACGCCGTTATATGACTCACCTTGGGACCAGCACGAAGTGAGTCTTATAACCGAATAAATTTTATAGACGAAGTGGGCATAAAATAAATAAAAGGGTTAATTATTAAATTGATTTTGCTCTTTCACTTTTACCATTATTTATTAGATACTACGAGCGGTATCTTCTTTCTCCCGTCAGAGTAATTTCAAAACTTAACTCTGTTCGGGTACCGTGCTAAAATACATGTCGGTTTTATCGGTATAAGAATATCGCGGGGTTATTTTTACCTTAAACGATAAAATATGAGTTGAGATCAGTACAGCGCAACTAGCTTTTTGTAATTAATTTATTTAAACATTTTTACCACGATTATCCGTACTTTTTTTTTTTACAAAAATTAACTTTAAGTCCAACAAGCGACTGAACTTTATATGCGAGAGTCTTGTAAGGGACATTTATCGGACGCGCATGATCTAAACCGAATTTACGGTGAACCGGAGCCGATCTTATTACTCGAAGGGGGCTGAAGGGCTACCGTTCTGTCAGCGGGCCAGGAAACAACGTGCGCACCCGATTGTATTGCGTTAACGTTGGCGCAAAACCGGCAGTCCAATTACATCCCGTCGTCCCGTTGTTCGGCAAACCGTTGTTGCCAAATCTCGCGGTCGAGTAAACGCCTTTCAACCCCAAACGTGCGCGGCCGTCGTGCAGCTGTTTCGCGCGGTGTATGTGTGTGTAATAAACGTCGAGACCGAAAATCAAGTCTCCGTTTCTGTACGGTGTACGTTGCCCTTCGACGCTCGTACGCACGCGCGCCTGCGTGACTTTTGTCATTGCGAAAAATAAAAAAAAAATGGCTACGTCGAAACCGGTACGGAACTGGTTTAGAAGATTGACGTCGAGACTGCGACGGTTCGCGTGACGCGTACAGCAAACGAAAGG